GGGGGGGGGGGTTGCAGGGGAGATGCAAAGCATCCTGGGATGCTGCGGGACTGTGACTTAACTTGAATATGGAAGGGATCTGGGACAGAAGTCCAATAAGCCATTTAACCTAAACCAGTTAAGTCTGATACTACATCTGTCCAGGTTGATCTTAAACCAGTTTCAGCCATTTTGGCTAGGGATGGACATTACACACAAACAGATAAGTGATCAAAAACCGGTTCAAATCTAACACAACATAAGTTCAGTGCACATAAACCACTTTCAAAATGGCTGAAACTGGTTTCAATAAACCGTATTTACTCATCCAAGACAAAGTTTTTTCCCCATTCAAAATCTTGGATTTGAGTACTGGGCCCAGAGTAGGTGGTGGTTCAGCTCAGTCTTTGGCTCTGGGCTTGGGACTGAAGCCAGAGCTGAGTCACTGCCTGCACCAGGCTGGGGTGGCTCGTGCAGTGGGGAAGTGGGATTATGGTGGGCAGAACACAAGGAAGACTATGTGGTGGGGGTATGAAGCACACAGGGGAGATATGGGAGAGGGGAAGGGGTGCACAGGGAAGACTGCATAACCTTTCCCCCTCCCACCCTCCACTCACTACCCACTTCTCCCACTGACTCTGGCCCTGGCCCTCCCAATAATTAGATTCTATACCTGGAAAATTATAACAACTTTATAATTTTCCAGGTATAGAATCTAATTATTGGAGGGTTGTCTTAAATTCAAAGTAATTTATGACTGGAATAAATATGGTACTTCTTCTCTCACCCAGCTAGTAAACAATCCTATCTTTTTTCCAATATAAAGGTAATCAGAACATTTCTATGGCCCTATATTCAATATGAATAAATGATCCTTTATCTTAAATGTTTACCATTTTTTTTTTTTTTTAATCAGGAGTTAACATTATTTACCTGGAAATATTATCAGGTGAACATGCAGATATGCTGGTCTCCATACTGTCAGAACTATCTAAGCTTAATGTATCAAAGGCATGATCCTTGTAACTGTGATCAGGGTAATGGAAACTATTTAGATACACATTAGATTCGGATGCAGTTCTGCTGTAGAATTCAGGAGATTTCTGTCTTTGTTCTTCACATATATGTTGATGATTATACCCTACAGAACAAAAAAGGCAAAATTATAAGTTACAGTTTTATCTAATTGTTAACACTTAAATGTTTTAGAAACTTTCTGGCAACTACATGGGTGAAACTAAACAGCAACTATGCACCAGAATTAACTTTCACAGAAAGAATATAAAGGATAGAGAGTGAGACACACACACCATTAGGAGCACATTTCTTTCAGAACAACCACTTCCTCTCTGACCTCACTATCCTTCTACTCAAGGGAATGTCTTTAAAAAGTGAGTTTGGGAAGAAAGATTCATAAGCTGGCTGCACACTACGCACGTGCAGGTAGGCTGCTCTGATGTGCTATAATTACACTGAGTCAGAGCAGGTTCAATTAATCAAGTCTGCTGAAGCATGGTAATTACCGTGCTCTAACAGACTCCAGCATCATGTGTATCAGTGCCCCCGTGCTGAAAAATGGCAGTGGGGTGTTTTAAACCAAAGCTCATTCAACTAGCTTTAGTTCAAAGTGCCCCACCACCATTTTTCAGCACGGTGATACACGATGCTCCAGGCGCTTTAATTAGCGCAGCTCACAGAGCGTGGCTAATTAAAGCCCCCCGCAGCATATCTATAAAAGTCCTAAGAATCAATGACTAAACAATGATATTGGCTTTACGACATATTATAATTTACCCGACTTATGAATTCTTTCCACACATGGAAGGCAAGAATGTCCCTTCTCCTTTTTGATAGGTTTTTCTTTCTCAGTATTCAACTTCTTTTTTCCCTGCTACTTGTCTTCTGCTTTCTCTGGCAATTTCTCACCTCTGCCCACAACTGTTCTTTACTATGCTGGGCTGGGCTTGTTCTGCTCAGACCTGATGAAGAATGTCTTGCATTCAAAAACTTGTCTGACTCTGGTCTTTCATAGTTTCTCCTGGAAGAGTGAATGTCTGTGGCTTCTCAGCTTCTCCCCACCCGGGAGACAGCGTGTTGCTCGCTGGACTCTGCTGCTCCAGAACACTTTTCCTTCATAACCCCTTAGATTATACTATATGGAAATATAGGGTGAGCATGAGATAAGTCAACCAATTAGGGCAGACTAAGGAAGCCTGTAGAGTGTGCACGGGGCCCCCTGTTCTTCCAGCTTATTTGAATGTCTGTAGGCAGCATCTATCCCAACTCTTGGTCCTATAAGATATCACCCTAAGAAATTCTTGCCTCTAGCATAATTTCTGGATTCTTACGACTACAATGTCATTTTTACACTAAATATAGAAATATCATCTTGAACTGGGAACATGTTTCTGCTCTCTTCTGCTGGTTCAGTGTGTACACTCAAGTTCTTTTTGCTGTCTGATAGTTTCTCAGATATGACAGAGTAAGCAAAAATCCATTTCACAAAGCTAAAAGATGTTACCTTCTTTTTTCTTAAAAAAAGAGCCAAAATACTCTCAAAAAGAAAACTGAAAAATGCATGACTCACCCCAAGTCATTAATGACACTAGTTTATTAAGAAAAGCATGCACTATGCACATCTTAGTTGTTTCTCCCTCCCTCCTTCCACTCAGCAGCTGTATACTTTCTTATAAACAAAGCATGCTGATTCCTGAGATGCTAATAGCATTACAGCTGCTACTTAAAGAGATATTAGATTACAATAAACTTTCACATTAACTGGTTAGTAGATTTGTAAACACATTTCATTTTTCATAGGCTACTTCCAGACATGGAAAAAAGCAATCTAAACTCCATGCACCCCTGCACCACGCCCAGAAAATATATCATGTTAGTTGGACCCAGCTCACCCAATGTCTGTATAGATCAGGCACTTCAGAGGGCTTTTATCTAATAGCTGATTCAATCAGATTTAGAGAAAATTGCCAAAAAGCCCTGCTAAACCCAATCTATACAGATGCTACGGAGCCAGATCAAACTAACACAACATTGCTTCTTCCTGTCTTCTGGTAAAGCACGTTATTTTTTCTCCCCCTCATGTCTGTCAGCATCCATAGATAATTGCATGGAACACAGATTTTTATGTGTAGCTTGCTTTTATCACTGTCATGAGAAAATGCTGCTGAGATGTTATTTGCAACATTTGATAAGATTACCTTTAATACTTGAACCTTTGGAATGACTAATTGCTCCTTTTAAAAGGTTTTCAATTATTCATTATGCAAAAGAAAGAAACAGAAATTATAAAAAGGAGAAATGTTATTCTAATAAACATACTATTTATAAATCCATGTTCATTCATTTAAGTTACTTATGAACATTTCATTTTACTTGAAAAATTAAATATGCTATATTTCACCGCAAAAAACAACCATCACCATCTACAACACATAGTGAAACATAAGAATTCTATTGGTAGCAAAGGTAAAATGAGTCTTAGCTGTTGTATGCATGCTTTTTGCCACCTACAGTTCACCTACCTTCACACACGCACACACACACACACACACACACACACACACACACAAAGAGAAATCAAGATTAATTAACTGTATGAAAAATAGCAGAAAAAGTGCTGAAGAAGAAAAGGATAATACATAACTATGAGTTTTCATTAAAATGAGAAAAAAACATTTTCTGGAAAGAAAAAAGTAACACAGAAGAAAAGGAAAATGCATAACTATGAATACTAACTAAAATAATAACACCACTTTCTGGGAAAATATTCCATTTATTAAATGTTAAATATTGTTCCTTTAGGTAAGTTTATGCAGTTTTCCAAATATAGTTGACTAACAAACAATTGTATTTCATTCTGTGTACTATAGTATTTAAGTCACTGAACTACTACATGCATTCAGCTACAGAAAATATAATACCATGTTCTCCTCTTCTCTTCATGCCTTCCTGAGTCAGGCAGTTCAGTTTATTTACACTGCCAACACTGTTCAGTACCAGCTACCAGGGGCACCAAAACAAAGTAAAACAAACATACAAGCATCCTATTTCCAATTAAAGACCAACTAACTTTTCATTAGCTGCCACCAGGAATCTTGTCAGGAACAAAAATACCCCAAATCACCATACTAACTACATTAAAGTATTCTCTGAAAAGTGAAGTACTGACTTAAAGCTTCTAGTTTAGATATTTAAAAAAAATATCCAGGGAAAAGGTTATGGAGATGACAAGGATCAACACAACCCTTTACTTAAAAGAATTTCTGGCGTTCAGATTTCCAGTCACAAAGTGTGATACCAATACTACTATTTTTTTTAGTTACAGGTCACTTTTCCGGAAAGACTGTGCTGTTAGAGCAAACTAACATCAGAACAAAAGAGCAAAATGAAGTTTTGCTTCTTTACTAAAAATTAACCACACTGCCAAGTCAAAAAGTTCATCAGCAACCACAAAAACAGATAATTTAAAGCACTGTTGTATTAGAGCCATAAAACCATCATTCTACTACCACAGAGTAACAGAGGTGAAATTAGAATCAGCTGCTTCCTACATGCAGTTTCTAAAGGGGCACTGTCAAATTTTCTTAAAAACTGGGCTTTTAAAAACTCTCTTTAACATATCTTCATATACAGAGCTAAAAATGCCATCTTTTTTTCTAGTGTTCTGCTTTTTTAATGCAAACATCAACATCTAAATATTAAAACTTATTTTAGTGGAACCCAAGTAACACTGCTGTATTTATTTTGATGTATTCAATTACAATAGGCCAGCTGATTGAACAGTCAGCTCTGTGGTCCCCTACATACTTCTAAGCTAGGAATTAAAATTATTAGGCACATTCCTGGGCTATGGCTCTGCAGGTACATCTTGACAGTGACCCTTTATATTAATTATTTCAAGAAAGCATCTCAGGGACACACACAGCCAGATAAGACAATGTTCTCATACCTTTTTTGTTTTTTCCTTTTTTTGTTTAATAAGAGGGAAAAAAATAAAATAAGTCATATTGTGTTTTTTAAAGCCTCACGTTTTTTGAAAAAGATATTCTGACTATTGTTTGTAAGTAAAATGAGTCATGCTCCAAGATTTGAGAGTTATAAAAGTACTCCATAACACCATAGAGACAGTAAAGTCCCAGCTAGCCTTCTAACTGAACAAGTTTCTAACTGTAGACTTCCATGTCTCCCTCCCACTTTCTCCTCTTCCTCAGGTGGCTGATAGTTTACCTTTTGCAGACTGTAATGTAGATTACAGAAACTTTCTGCTCCCAATGGAACTGTGCGAGCCAAGCTACCTGCAGCCCAGGCCTAGAGGATAGGGCTGGCTTTTCCCCTTTGTTTCTTTTGATGGTCCACTGCTCGAATCAAGCTGTGCAGTGGGGTCGCCTGTGGCCATAAGTCAACCTGGCTCCTTTTGGAGTCTGTCCTGCAGTTTCGCTTCAGCAGGTCATATAATCCAGCCCAGAAGTTTTGGGGTGCATGCATACTGGCTGGAGCAGCAGTCACTCCCCCCCCCCAACATACACAGCCTCTCCATTGGAGCAAAGATCGGCACTCTACCACTTTTCCAGGAACAACAAGGGGGTCCCTTGCAATGAAGAAGGACCCACGCACTTGAGCAGCTCCCCACAGCACAGCAAACCCAAGAAGCAGCTCAGGACTCTTTGGTGTGGGCCCCCCTCTGCAGCCCATTGCTGAAGGGCAGGTATGGGGGTGCAGGCACCCAGAACTACCCACTGGGGAGTCCCAAGTCCTAGACTGCCTGTGTATGGGTGAGGCTCCCCCAGAAGGGTGCCACCTATAGACTTTGCTTTGTAGTTAATAGTGTTTTAAAATTATAGTTAATGTTTTCTTTTGGTTTGTTTTATTCTCTGTAATAAATCTGGGTGCTTGGGTATTTATACTGCTTGTGAGAAGAGGGTTTTTTTTTTTGTTTTCATTTATATGGGACACCCCAGCAAAGTTAGTGTTCCCAGATTTCTGGGTGGAGGCTTGAGCCTCTGGTATAATTTATGAGGGGCCCCAAAATTTGAACCTGGCCCTTTTTGCTGCCAACTGGTGCCTGGCAGAAGGGTTACATAAATAAAGTTTATTAACAGGGCTTAGGCAAAATTGGTTTAACTTCTGCTCATACTGATTTTGGTTTCATGCTCAGTGCTTTAGAGGTCCTTGACTCACCCAAATTCAGTTCTTTTTCACTTTAATGGAAGCCCATGTATCAATAGTAGTTGAACAGTCCCAAATATTTTAATTTAGCCATATTATTTACAACAGACTGTTGATTCTCAGTCAGCCTCATTCGCCATCTTCAGACCCACAGATAAGTCATTCACGGAGGACAATCATCCTCAACTGTGTGGGAGTGTGGAAGACGACAGTTTGATATATTTAAATAAACTAGCCTATATTTGGTACCTGATGGTATATTTAAATAAAAGGACAGACTGACATTTTTAAACCAACTTGCACTATTCCAAAGCCACACACTTTCCCCATTTCTAATATAAAAAGAGAATGTAAGCTTTCCCAAAAAAGTTGGGTCAGGTCCTTTGTTGTTCTTAGATTCTATTTCCATGCATCTCTCAAGTCCTAGGATTCTCAGTACTTGAAACATGGCCCTCATGTTTGACTAAACATTTTTTTAAAATTTGTTCTGTGAACTGTTCATTGTAAAATAATATTTAATAAAGTAATCTGTAGAAATATTCTGAAAACATTCTGGAGCAAATATATGGGGGTACAGATATTTCCAAATCTTAAAGAGATTTTAGGCACAAGAAAAATTATTATAACCTTCCAACTCCTTCCACAAATACAAATCTCCATACTTTTATCTGGATGGAAAAGGTAACAGATGATCAACTAATTACCAAGAAAGGTGACTGAAATGGAAACTGTTTTGATTATTTTTCAAGATCCTGCTTGTTCCTATTTTATTAATCCTGTGTCAATGCAAGCAAATCAGCTGGATACAGCAATCAGCTCTGTTCCTTTTGCCAGATCCTTCAAGTTAGGCCACCTCAAAAGTTCATTTCTTCCAGTAAGTATCAACACAACCTTGTAATCCTCCCTTCATTTAGGGTGCTTGTACACAAGTGTAGAGGCTGTTCCAATGCACTGTAATTACAGCGTGTCAGAGCAGATACGATTAATCGAGTCTGCTGGAGCATGGCAATTACTCCAGCAGCCTCCCGTGTCTCATGCATCAGTGTCCCCATGCTTCAAAATGGCAGTGGAGGTACTTAAATAAAGCTTGTTGAACAAACTTTAGTTCAAGTGCCCCGCTGCAATTTTTAAGTGTGGGGACACTGATGCATGATACACTATGGCATTTTAATTAGAGTAGGTCTTGGAGCTGCTCTAATTAAAGCACCACCCCCAAACCCCTGGATCATGTGTAAAAGTGCCTTTAATGTTTTCTCTTTGCTATTCTCTTTACTGCCTTTTCGATGCAAATAATCATAATCCTGTGGTGACGGCAGTTAACAAAGCCCTCATTATTGCACACAGCATGTAACAAATGCCTTACACTATGACAAATATACCTCTTTCTATACTCTGTCTCTCTCTCTCTTATTCAATCTAAAGTTATTCTTTTATTCTTTTTTGGCTACAATATTACTAAGATGATTAATTTCAGCAGTTCTCCTGCCCACACTCATTGCTTTTTCTTTATTCATATATGAAAGCAATTGTTCATGTAGCATACCTTGGTTGAATGCCAGCAAAAAAGAACTGTGTTAGAGCTTGCAACATGAAGGTTGGGCAAATTCTTTCAGAATTAGTGGATCTATCCTTCCCTGAGGGCCAGTGTTGTCAATTTGTATGTTCTTAAAAATTCACAGATGTTTTCAGTTACCTGCATTAAATCCCATCCTCAACTAAACTACACTTGTAAAAACATTCCAGCTTTCGCGATTTGTGATTTTTATTTTTGAAAAACAAAACAAAACTGTTTAACATACATCTTGTATATATTTTTCAGCCAACACAAGCAGACTATTATAGACCAGATAGCAAAAGTGTACACACGGGCAAATTTTCTAAGCTACACCGCTTGCTAAATTCACCAAAGAAAAGTTTTCCAAGCTCATAATTTTGTTTTGTCTGGCTGCAGGTGAAATAATTTAGAATGAAAGTTATTCAAATACAGCAGGTTTCTGCAAGACTCCCATGAAGCTAAAGCTATAAAAGGGACACATCCACCAAGTCTGGGTCAACTTTGTAAGGTAACTGAAAAAAAGCTGCTTTTTTCACAGGAAATATGCTCCATATGCATTTAGCCATCTCTCTTAATTTGTCTGCCTATACTCTTGCTACTTTTAAAATCTATCAGTCCTGAATAAGCAAAATCAATAAGGGAAGGTGAAGGGATTTCACTGTAGGTCATTCATGCACAAATGAAAAATACTACACCTGTGAACAACCTTCCTACTGCTGAATATTTTTGGCAATCATGCACGTCAGAAGCAAAGGAAGCTGACTCTCAGTTCCCCTTTGTTGAGGGGGCTCCAAGCCGTGGGGCCACACACAGCCAGGACCAAGTCCTGCACCTGGCAGGGCTCTCAGACCCGGCTGTGCCACATGGGCAGCCAGCATCGAGAACCCTGCACCTGACAGGGCACTGCTGCACCATGGGGTGCTGCTGCAATCTCCTGGCCACAGGGGTGCACGAAGCATTCCAGCACACCTTTGTGGCTAGAGACAGAAATTACACAAAAACCAGTTTAAGTGATCAGAAACTGGTTTAAACCTGTAACAGAACAGGAGTTCAGTGTGCATAAACCAGTTTCAAAATGGCTGAAACTGGTTTAAGATACACCTTGTTGAATGTAGTATCAGTAGTATTAACTGATTTATGTCAAACCGGTTTATGAAACTTCTGTCCCAGACTCCTTCCTGGTCCAAGTTAACTCACAGTCCCGCAGCATCCCAGAATGCTTTGAAGCTCTGCTGTCTGCTCCAGAGAACAGGGTTGGCCCCACCCCTCTGCTGCCTAGCTGGAGCAGTGAGGCCTGGCTGACAAGGGGCTCAGCCAGAGTGGGAAACCCGGCAGGGGACCACAACTGGGTCTGCCTGTGGTGGGGGTACAGCCCCTGCCAGACTTTTCCCCACTGGAGCAGCGGGGGTGTGGGGTGTGGGCAGGCAGGCTCAGGTAGAGACTGAGGCAAGCAGTTGATAAGGGGAGGGGGCATAATTCCCCTCAGCTCCCCAGGCCATGGGATAGAGGGAAGAGGCTGGGAAACCAGGGCTGGAGGGATGGCTACCCATGAGTACAGGGCCAAGCCCTGCTGGACTAGACTGAGAGGTGGGAGAAGTTGGCAAAGACCTGGCACAAAGATCACCACATGTATGTGCTGGAGATGGAGCTAAGGTAACAGGAGTGGGTCCCAGACTGCTTGAGCTGGTGTGAGCAAAGAAAGCAGAGCACTACATTTACATTATAAAGCAGAACCTGTGAAAGGCGGGAGACTGGAATACCTAAGCAGAGACAACAGACACTGAATGCACAGGAGTCCTGCCGAAGGTCCTATAGGTAATGAGCATCTAATGTCAAGACACCCAAGGGGGAGAAGTGGGTGCAAGTGTGCCTGTAAAAACCCAAGTAGACCTGAGGCCTGTGGGATCTCCACTCCAATACCTAAGACCACCTGCTGGTTCCCCAAAAAGAACTTTCTGAATACCTGGCTGTAAGCAGACATTCTGCCCTCAGGATTACATAAGACTTATGCAAGGCTTTCTCTGGTCTTCTTGGTTTATTACACTCCATTTTAAGTTAGATTAAGTTGTGTGTGCTCTCACAGTGTTTTACTGGGCTGTATCTTAGCTTAGGTGAAGACTGTTGGTTGTTCTTTGTTGTGTGCTTGAGATTGCAAATTGCTGTGTTCACTACATGCTTGCTTCAGAGAAAGGGCTATTCTTGTTCAAGCTTTTATGAATTCAATGTCACTACCTTTGTCCCCTCCTCAGCCCCTCCTCCCTCCCCCCCATCAGGGAGCAGGGGGTGGAGCATAAGCCTGGCAGACACTGCCCCTCCTCCCCCACAACAGCACACCCTGGCTGGGGTCCTGTGTGGGCCAGGGAGGAGATTTAAACCCCCACCCTCAAGCATGTTAGCCCCAAACCAATAATAAGAATAAGACCAGTGGTTTGGGTAAGGTTACTGGGGAAGGAGGAGGCCTCATTGCAGCCCCACTATAGCATGGGGCAGTGTTTGGGGTGCACAGGCCGAGTGACAGAGAGGGCACAGTATTTGGGGGCACAGGCCCAGCACCAGAAAGGACAAGCCTAAAAGGCCAGGGTGGCCTGGTGTGTGACTATATATGGTTTTTTTGTACTGGGACAGTGGAGGTCCAGGGCTGTTGCCCAGCTTTGGGCTTGCAACCCCCTGGCTGTAGGGCCAGTGGATAGGCCTCTAGGCCAGGGAAGCTGTGCTCCAGCATGGAGCAAAAAGGAGGGTGACGAGCCTCAAGATTAAAGAGCTAGAGCCTCAGAGTCAAACCCTATCTGGTGGGTTTAGATGGGGAGGCCTAGCTAGAGAAAGACTGGGGTCAAGGCCAGTGGTGGCGGAGAACCCCAACATACAAAAACCAATAGGCAGTCTCCTGCTTACAAAAACCATCGGTATAAAATTTCCATCAAAACGTGGCAGGTGAGTAGAGAGTGGGATATGAGAAATCTTAAAGGAGCGCCCTTGGAGTCCCCACATAGGGCACGGATAACAGGAAAGATGGCGCTGGGGAGGGCAACCTGTTACAGGGTGAGTTGTGTTTCCCAGTGCCTGAAAGATCGCAACAGCTGCCATCTCCCTGCAGACTGCCTACACATGCAAATTAAAGCTGGATAGGAACCAGCTATAAAGTTATTGCTCAAAAATGTGTAATAACTTTATAGCTGGTTAAACCTTTTTAAGGCAGGATACTTAGTCTGCATATGTAGCCAGTCTAAATATATTGTGTAATTAACAAGGTGATTGCACAATAGATATAAGGTGTAGAGGGGGCCAGACATGCAACTGTGCATCTTTAACAGCCAATCTCTTTTCTTATCTTGAACACACATTTACAATAGACTAAGTAAGTTGTACCCTATCATAATAATTCACCTGAGTCAAAGTTGTGAATCTAGCAAGTTACTCTACCCAGGCAAAAGCATTTACCTATAGAGAACAATTTATATGATAAAAAAATTACAGAGAATGATTCTCTACAAAATAAAAATGTAAAAAGCAATAGATAGCCTACCCCCTGTTAAGACAAAATATTAAATGGACTAAGTTGTCCCGTTTACTCAACGCATCATTTTCAGCATACCTTTTTATTTATGATAATTATATGCTTTTAAATTAAAATAGGAAATTTATAAATAGATATTTGTGCTCCTGTAATACTACTATCATCATATCTTCATCGTCTTTGCTGGAGACTGTAAATTGTATAAGTAGGTTCCTATTTTCATTAGGAGAAAAATATACTATTTTAAAGCCCTACTACTTTTGGAGTTACTAGTCAAGAGATTGAACATTGCATATCCAGAAATATAAATGTTTTAAAAAGACCTTACCTTTATGCATTCTTCTTGGTTCTGACTCTTTGGTCATGGTTGCCAGACAGTGAGGAAGTACACTGCCACAGCTGTTGCTCTGTCCTAGAGGTAAATGACCCTGCATGAAATTTTGTAAACACATAGTTAAAAGCTGCATACTTTTGCACTTATGTCAGAAATTTCCTGAAAAACAAAAACACTTCTTTGGCATGAACTCATCTGAATCAGCTTGAGTTATTTTAATTATACACATCCTCTACTTACTGAAAAGCTTTCAAAACAATTTCCCCACTAAAGATTATGTGAAAGCCCCTGTTGCTTTGTTGACTGACAATGCTACAGTTTAGATATCATTTTCAGTCGACATAACCTTATCTTCCCCCTCCAATAATATCCAGAGGAAACCAAAAATGATACAATTAACAGGCCTCTGAAATCAGTTTAATCTAATCAAAGTTCATTTCTTTATCTTAATTCATTTCCTAGGTTTGCCATTTTTAACTTCAGGAATATTACAACAAATCTATAATGTCTTTGCCCTTATGCTGATCAATTTTATTTCCAGCTCAAAATATTTCTTACATGGAAGTTAGAAATGGGAAAGTCTATATATCAGCATATTACTTACTTTGGGATTTACACTTCGTCCAAGAGTAGAACTACTGAAGTGCGGTGATACAGAGGGAGTAGTTTTCTTGCGAGGTAAAGTATCACTCATATACATGCCTTCCTTGTGCTGTTTCTTTCTTTCTTCCAGATTTCTAAAGTGCTTAAAATGTAATTTGTAAAATAGTTTTGAAAAAATGAATCCCACTTTTTAGTGAATTATGTTTCATGTGGAACATGCTGAATCCTACAATTTGGAAACTTCATTGTAAATCTAAATATTCAGTTTAATATTCTTCTTGTTCAGGTTGATGCAATATAGGATTTCATAATACACACTTTTCATAGAAATTATACAGTGCATGGTAAACCAAGAATCAGTCATTCCCAAAGTCAAATGATCAACCAGTCTTGGTTTACATTAATATTATGAATTCTGTAATGCTAATAATTCATGTGCAACCTACAGATTTCTCAATTAAGCAATTATTAAGAATGAATTCTGCCAGTATGGAAGATAAATGGTCAAGATAAGGTAAGGTAAAGGAAAAAAACCCAACAGCCCAATATTCTAAGATATAACTTTTTAGAGGCTGGGGCCCAAATTGAGGACAAGGGGATTACTTTAAAATTAACAGTTTCAGTTCCTCATCACCTTAACACAAAGCTTGTTTCCATACAGGTAAATTTAGAGATTCACCTTAAACACTGTTCTGAAAAAAAAAGAAATCAGACTTATGGAATCAAAATGGTTTTCTGAACAGCCTGTAAAGCTGAATGTTAAACAGTCACCAACTAGCAAGTGAATCATGTTATAAATAAACTTAATTGTCTGTAATTTTAAGAACATTTTTAATCAGTAAATAGCATATGAATAAATGTAGCAACATGTTATAACTTGCATCTATTTTTACAAATTGAATCTTATTAGGCCAAACCCCAATAAATTCCAAAGAACTGGCCATTTAAAACTGATGCATTTTTGGAAAGGTTATACTTCAAAGATGATAAAATCCCCTCCATATAATTTTGATTTTAAATCTAAATAATTCATTATTGCAAATGCTTCTGACCACTGAAATGGCATTTCCCATTGTGTTTATTCATTTATTTGAATGGCAAACAGACAGAGCCCATGTCTATTTTGAGATCTAGATTCTTTGTTCTACAAACTATTTTTATTCAACAGCACCTACTAATAATCCATATCAAATTCAGCAAAACCTTTAGGTTAAGGACTCTGAAAATTTGATGAAGAAAGGGTTCTTAGTAATGTTATGCTGAAAAGTTCATGGGTAAATGGCTTCTTAGTTACCCATATTAAAAATCCCAGATGGTCAGCTTTGAAGTTACCTGTGGTTGCCTGCGGTGTTTCTTAGCTGGGAGAGGAGGAGGTGTATCAGATAAAGGTAAAGGATCTACATGTGTAACCATGACCTCAGGCCAATGGACTGATGGAAGTTGAGCAATAGAGCGAGGAGAAAGAGAGTGAGGAAACACAAATCCAGAACAGAGAGGTGATCTTAGCTTTATAGGAAAAAGAGAAATTACACACAAAGTTTTCTACTTGGAATTACTCAAGAGGCATGGCACATACAAGCTGCAGTTTATAATATGCTTTTATTTGGAGAGTTTAAGCACAGAAGGAGACTTGTTAGTGGAAACTGGTGAAATATATATTTAAATATTTAAAACACTGTCCAAAATGACAAAGTCTAAGTTAAATGGTAAATGATAGTAGCACAAAAGTAAATATTTTCCATTTATAAAGTTAATCCATTTTAAGCAATTGAGCTTATTTGGAAAAAATAAAGATAGCTATAATAAAGCAAAAAGTCAGAGATAGTATTAAAAAAGCCAGAAAGAACATATTGGAATAACACACACAAGTGAGAGGTATTCATCTCCTCCCCCCTCCCATGCCTGTCCACAATCCCTACAAAACCCAAGGTCAGTATATTCCTTGCATAACATCTCTAAATGAACTACAATAAAAATGTTCAATGAACACTTTACCCTCCACTGTACACATGGACATTAAAAACATAACTACAAACTACTTTTCAAAAGAGCATGCTACCTTTTAGCATTTGAAAGGCAATGATCAAACTTGTTTCTGATGGGTTCATTATTCTTATTGGCCTCCAAACCACCATCTTTAAGAACAAAGACATTTTATAGCTGGAGAATTCATATGGGTATCTTACCCAATCAATACCTGACCCTACATTGCTCACAGTCTGTTTCAGGGTTACATTTACTATATGATGGGACAAAAAAAGCAGCCGTGAACAGAACCATGTAAAGAAAGGGAAACATCTCTCAAACAAACCTCTTTATTTTGTGGCTGGCTCACCAGCACAGCCGTGGAAGGTTCAGTGGCAACAGCGTCAGCATCTGTGGGGGGCTGAGTGGAAGGGGGTATATTCGTGGAACTGCCATACAGCTCACTAATTTCACTTACACTGATATAACCCTAAAAGGAGGAATTCAGAAGTTAAACACAAAAAAGGAGCAAAAGCCAAAAGGCATGCAAGAGTATTAATGTACCCAGTACAATGAAGGTTAGTGTAGAGTGATACAGCCAAATATCTGTGTTTATTATCAAAATGATAATTTAAAGCAGTAATAAAATCACCACCAGAATTTCAAAATATTTGAATACCCGAATATTAAAAAAGATGTGTGTTATCAAAAGGAAAATATACTTTAGATAATCAAGAGAGACTATTCAAATAACGCCTTTAGCATTTTTTAGATTAACATGCTTTAAATTTAAATACCATCTATAGTATATCCATCACCTAGATTTTAAATATCATTGACATTTCTTTAAAAAAGGAAAAGAAATATGTTTGCTCATTTTTAATTCTTTGTGTTTCCTTCCTTTCCTTTTAATTTCCTGTCAATATTTTGTATTAAGTACGCCTCTTGCGACTTGTAACTGCTGTTACTCTGTAAATTGCTCTACATACTCTCTAAATTCCTCTAATCAGTAGTGTTTAACAGTTGCTACCATCTATCTGATAGCTGTTGTAAGCTTCAACACTGATGATATAAGTGTAATTCTATTAGAAAGTAGCCATCCACATTTCTATTTTTTACTAGCAATGGTGGAAGAGGGTAGAGGCCAAGGACTGACAGAATGTGGAGACTAGAGAATACATTTGGCCCAGAACCGGCTCATCTAAAAGAGATGAAACAGGACAACTGTTATACATGTTCTGCTGTGAAGAGAAAGTCGGTCTTCAGTGCTACCAAATAAACCTCTAGAATAAAAATCAGAGATTCAATACAGTGGTCTAGAGGACATCAGATTACACCCAAGTCAAATGTCCACTGTTTGATCTGTAGGAGGAAAAAAAAGCATTTTAAAAAGCGAAAAGGTCACTGCTGAGACAGTGTTATATAAAGGTAGGCTGAAATGTATTGTAAAGTTATCAAGACAATGCTCTGCTTGTAAGCTGAACAGGTGAAATGGGTATGGTTATAAAACTGAACTAATAAATTAAAACAAGAGAGAGATGTCATTTAGGAATTAAGATGATCAAAGCAGCGACAACCTGTTGCTACCATCTCCTCAGATTAAAAATACAGAAATTTAAGACTACACAAATAATTTTGGGGCTGCAGGGAGAACCTGCTGCAATGATTCACTAGCAGTTAAGAGTATTTTATCCAGTTTTTCTTCACCTGGAAAACAATTTGGGAAAACCAAGCAAAAGTCCTTACAGAAGTTTCTGATACAAGCTAGAAGGCAATGCAAGTTAGCCTTCAACTACAGTAGAGCACAAGCTTTATACTATGAATTATTTACTAACAGAAGCAGGCAATCTAATAAACAGTTTTCTCAAAAAGAGAGGATAAATTGGAAGCAAGGTCAGATCAGGGCCCTAGTAGGAGTATATATGTATAATTAACTTTGCTACATGGTTAAGTGTTACTAATACGTATTTTAAACTGTGGAAAAATCCACAAAAAGCACAAAATCCTCAGGGAAATCCTGAACACTGCAGAAACTATATATATATTTTAGCAGAGGCATAGCAGTACACCTCCACATTCAGGGCAGCCATGTAGCACATGGGACAGTGCCAGTGCCTGCCGTGCTGATTGCAGCAGTGCTACTAGCTGCCACTGTGACAGCAGCTGCTTTTGTGCCCTGCCACAAAGGTGGTGCACAGGGCTGCTGCTTGGTGGCCCCACTTCAGTTACACTTCTGTAGCTTAAAGACTGTAAAGCTTGTTCCCAACTTCCTTGAAGTCAATGACATAACTCAGAGATCTCACTGGGCACTAGCTTAAGTCCTGTAGCACAAGCGGATTAAAGTGATGCTTTAAAATCTCAGCCTCATAGAAATATCAATATTCCTATCTTCTCTCTCTTTTTTTTTCTTTTGCTGTGGGCTGAACAAGTTGTCCTTTTACTCAACAGGACTTCTAATTACTCTCTTACGCACGCATGTGCATGCAAATTCTCTCCCTCTCACACACACCATACACACAGTCATGTTTTCAGAATCAAGATTTCTGTTGGGGGAAGGAAATAAAAGAGAATAGTCTGTGTCTCCAAATGCTCCTTGTGTTCAAAATGGATCAATTCACCCCTAGGCAGAGAGTCAGGCTAAAGTCTATTTGCCACTAAATGACAGGTTTTTAAAGGTATCCAGGTGTCTATCACTTATCTGAATAAAATACTTGGGACAAATTAATATTCAGTTGCCATGTCTACACGAGAGGCTGTCATTTAGTACTTGTTTATACAAATGGCAGAAAGCACTTGTTTATACAGGTGCTAACTGACTGTGCACTAACAACTGTGCAGTCAGCGTCTTATGTTGACAAACGAGTACTAAATGACTGCACAGTAACTGGGAGTTATTGTGTAGTAGTGCCAATGAAGACCAGTTTTGTGACACTATTGCACAGTAGAGTTTTGGCATGGGTTTTGCTACACGATGATACTGCGCAATAGAATCAGGCTACGTGCAGTATGCATCTCATGTAGACGTGGCTGGTAGGTGCAATCACTGAAACTAAGACAGCTGGTAAGAAGAGCAACTTTCATCTTATACAAGTTGGATGGTATAAAGACTTAAATTATATAAAACATTTAAGTTGTTTCTCTTCTTATTTACCCTATTATAAATTATAAGTAATTTCACTGAAATGAATAGAATTGCTCTGCTAAGAGACCTAGTGAAATAAAAGGAAAATCTGTCTCATAAAACAATCTCAGCCATTTAAAATATTGAAATGAGTAGTTCATAATTCTCCTGCAGAAATCAAGTCAAAGACAGCATGCTTTTCTAGTAAAACAAACAAACTAAACCCTTTGACAGAAGATAAAAATGTAGACAAATATATCTGAAGAAGACTAACATTTTCTGTTTCTTTGATTAAAATTTAATATTTAGCCACAATTTAGAGACACAAACACTTCATTAGGATGAAATAACATGATGTTGATAGAATGTGATCAACTATAGTTTAGCTGAATCACTACACCTACACTTACAATTACTCAGGATGGTGGTTCATATTTATTCAGAATTCTTTCAAGGCTTACAGGCCCTCAGGTTGTGACAGAATGCAGTAAGCTAAAAGCTATTAACCTTTAATTGGGTAGCAGCAAGTTGTAGGTCTCATTTCACAGTATCACCAAATTAAGACCTCAAGCAAAAATTATAAGATCCTCAATGGTTTTTCAATAGGTAGATCTAAAACAGCTCAAAGTACTTAGCCCCATATTTAAAATGCTAAATACATGTTTATAATACATTTCTTTCTATCCCTAAGAAAAGTATGACCAAAAATGTAAACATCTAAAAGCAGGAAGACTGGAATTCATTCGTATTTGTCTGTAGCTATTTCTGGATTTTGTTTTTCCTCTCCATTATATTTAATGCTCTATTTAGAGAAAAACAGACTCTCTAATAAATGTAAAATGGTAATTTATTCAGGGCAGGAGTCTAAGGCAATGCCCACTACAGCTGGGAAAATGTCAGAGAAGCTATTTTTGCCCTAATTTGCATGTTCCTATGTAACAGAACTAAGTTACTTAATCACGGCAAAAACAAGATATTGAAATTGCAGGAACACCACTTACCAAATCATACAAGATTTGCCAAACTCTAAATAACTGTTGCATCAAATGTCAATAAAAAATAAGTTTATCAGGAAAATAATAATCAGGAAAATAGCAGTTAACACTGTTTACCTCTTTCAGACTACTTGGACTGACAGGAAATCCTCTTCCTCCAGAAAGTCCAGAATACTTCTTTTCCAGATTACAAAGATTCTCTTTTTCCTGTCAGTAATTGAAATAGCTTTATTTGTAATGTGAATATTTATTCAAGTAAAATTAATTTCTATTTATTTAAAAGGTAGAAACAAACCTTCTGGTGAGGCTTAATACGTAATAGCAGTTTCAGTGTCATTTATTCACAGCAGCACTTTAGACTCTGCAGCAGTTCTTGACACAGCTGGGATTGCCAGAAGTGATTAATGATTTCAGGCATCTCATTTTGGGGGGTTTCCAATTTGACAACATAAAGAGGCCTAATTTCATAAGTGAATGAAAGCACCAGTCATTTCTGAAAATACTGGACAGTAGCTGTGGTCAACCAGATAACTTTTGCTTTCCATTCTCAGCCTTCAAGTGGACAGAGCAAACAGAATTTGAATCCCTGGTTGACATACAACCAAATTTAGGACCAACAGAAAGTACAGCATTTCAACCCAGATTTTTATTAGACAGGAGCTAGACAGACAAACAGCTTGTTTTGGGAAATGCTGCCCACAATATTGTAACTACTTCTATTGTACCATTGTTGTTGATCTTCAAACTAAACGTATCTTACAAGATAAGAATTGCTTACCCTTTGCAGCATCATTATTAAATTATTCTTTTCTTTTACAAAGTGATCCTGTTCTCTCTGAGCTTGCTGGACAATATGATTAGCTTGCTTCTTGAGAGCAGAAATCTTCTCCTAATATGAAAATAAAAGAAGATTTTAGAATATTCCTATTTGATAGCACAATACATATCCAACCTGGATCCTGTTCACAGATAGCACACTTAGCACAGATGTACTTCATCCATGAACTCCACCAAACCGCTCAGGGTTAGTTAATAATTATTTCTTAAAATTAAGACTACAATAAAGCAACTTAAAACATTTATAAAGTAAATATCCTTGGGGAGCCCCCTATCTAAAAATAAAAATAATTGTTTTCCTCTTTCCCACATTTTCTTCTTCTTCAGCAGACCCTTGCCATCAGGGATGATTGTCTTCCATGACTGTCTTATCTATGCATCCAAAGATGGCTGATGAGGCCTATCTAAGATCAACAGACTCTGCTGCAGCTCACACACGTGTTTCCGTGCAGGGTGGGTGGCTCTGGAGGTTCCAGGTCCTGAAAATGATGGTGTGCCCTCGCTCGTATTTTTGACTGCTGTAAAGGTGATCTCACTGACTGCAGTTATCCAGCCAGGAAGAAATACAGAATACTGTATTAGACAGGCTATGTTTAGGGCACCTTTTCTGGCCCCCTCCCCATGTGGGGTGACCAGAGCAGATCCTGACAAGTTACAGCTGCCAAATCACACTCCTGTCTCATCCAAGTGCTAGATGATCTTCTTGTAACTGCCGCCTTCATGCTAGCTCATGACTAGGAGCTTCCAGACCTCACAATCCTGCTCCTGTCGCCCTTAGGTGGTCAGCCAAACGCTTCAATGTTTTGGAAAAGCTGTTTTCATGCAAGGCACCAGTTCATAATTTATCATGAAGAAGCTGCTGCACATCAGCTTCCACACAGCTCTTGACAGAATGGGACCTTGATCCAATGGCAAGGAGACCAAGACCACTGGGGATTTCCCATATTATAATATATAATGAAAATGTCATAATTTATTTTATAGGAACTTGTGAATTCTAGTTCCTGCTCTGACCTTTAGTTTCTCTGAGGCCCTAGACCAGGGGCAGGCAATTGTT